GAGGCCACCGTCATTTACCCGACGGGAGGGGTGAGCGAGTGAGCCCTGCAATCTAGAATTTGACCACTGATGTCACTGTTTTCAACCCATTTTACACACTGGCCCTTTAAGGAGGGCAGGACTTAGGATCCCTCAATTAGTGATTCAAGTCCATTGTGCAAATGTAAACTTGTTAAGGTTGCTCACAAATCCTTAAAAGTGTTCGGACAATACTTTGCACGAACTAGTTTCTTTTGTGTCTATGCGCAAAGGTACCCCATTCTTGCATTGTCCCCCCACAAGATACCTAGGAGAGAAATAAGCCCTCTCCAAGTCCACAAAACACTGACTGATTAGCAAACTTCCATAACCCTTCCAGACTGGCAAGAATAAAGAGCTGCTTCAACATTCTACGACCAAGATGGAAACCTCATTCATCTTTCTGAATCTGAGGTTCAACAGTTGACTGACACCTTTTTTTACAGAACCTTGGCAGCATGTTAGGCAGTTCATCTTACCTGCTGAGACAATCCCATGCCTCCTCTTTCTGGATAGTCTGATGTTTGCAGAATTGGCCAACTGAAAGTCATATCTGAACACGTCCATTACTCCTTCTGACTTTTTGTGATTCTAACCCTAACTTTCAACGATGGAGGTACTAAAGAGGTTTGCATCCTAAAGTTAAGCTTATTTACCAGGGTGACAGGGGTAGGCTGGAAGGTGGACACAATGTTTCCACACTATTGGTAAGGACAATATTAACGGGGCATCGGAGACTTAGTGGATAGAGCACCATGTACAAGGCTGTTGCCGCAGCGGCCCGGGTTCGAGGTCCGGGTTTCCCTCTCTCTCTCTCCCCCCTTCACACTCAGCTGTCCTATCAATTAAAGGCAAAAACGCCCAAAAAAATATCTAAAAAAAAAAAAAAAAAAAGGACAGCAGTAATCACTGAATTAGTGGTGATGCTAGCTAGCTCCTACCCAACCCTACCATAATACTAGTACTACTACTAAACTCAAGAGCAGGAAAATTAATCATGTGTAACCAGTCAAAAATGTGCTTGGCAATTAACTGATTATGGTTAACCACTGTCATCCCTATTTCTTACCTTCATACACCTTAATAGTTACTGTGTAGAGTGGGCTTACTTGTCAAATTGTTGGGGTTTTTTTCGGCATGTTTCAAAAATTGGCAGATTCAACTCTATTTGATGAATTATGCTATGCATACAAAAAGACAGACATGCACAGTCAAGTGTTTACCTGGTTGGAAGTCTCTGTGGTGCAGACAGAGTCTCCAGCCCTGCTCTCCCTCCAGCACTGGAAGCATCTCTCTGTAAACCCAGTCCTCGTCATGAACGTTGTAGGAGATGAAAGCATCGTAGTGATGAGGAGCGCCCTTCTTCCTCTTCCTGCTGTCGTAGAGGAAGGCCAGGAAGAGGTAGTAGGTGTAGGCTAGCTGCCACCTCAGAAAGTGGTAGATGAAGGATGTGAGGAGAGTCATCAGCGTCAGGCAAAAGCTAGAAATGAAGCAGAGGAAGCTAACGTCCATCCAACAGGACTGGACGTCAAAGTCCAGCAACTTTGTTCCTTGTTTAGCTACAGGAAAGGTACAAGTGTACTGGTAGGCATTAACAACCTGTGTTTGGTTGTTGTTCTTCACCCATTGGATAAAGCCAGTGTTAGAGCAGTTACAAGTGAAAGGGTTACCAGTCAGGTCCAGGTATGTCAGTGCAGGGAGAGACTGAAAGACCATGTCGTTGATCACGGTCAATTCATTGTCTCTAACTGTCAACACTCTGAGTGCAGAGAGGTTGACCTGGGCTAGAAAATCCAGAGATCTGAGCTTGTTTTTGGAAAGGTCGAGAGCCTGCAGGTTGAGGATTGGCTGAAGCACTTCAGGGTTTAAGACTTGCAGATCACTTTGAAATATGTGAAGACTTGTCAGGAGGGGAGTGTATTTGAATGTGTCTGGGTGAGGTGACTCTGTAAATAATTTCTCCGCTCCAAAGTAATCTAAAGAATTCAGACCTGTCAGAAAATCAGGTGAGATTTCATGATACCAATCATAATTTTGTATCAGTAGACTCTTCAAGAAAGGTAATGGGAAAATGGGTAAATGTGTCTCATTTTTTTGACGAGAACTCTTGCTGTCATATGAAGACGTGAGATGTATTTTGAGGTTTTCTAGGTGTTGCAGTCCTGTAAAAACCTTTGTAATGTAATCCATTTCACCAAAAAATGGTGTAACTGAAAGATTTTGAAGATTGTCCAGTCCTTCAAAAGCCCCCTTATGGGCAACGTAAAATGTATCTGATTCTAAATACAGAGACCTGAGGGAAGACATATTCTTAAAGTCATCTGTTTTGAGCTGCATCAAAGTATTCATGTTCAAATCCAAAACTTCTAGTTTCTGTATATTCAATTTGAAGAAATCAACAAGTAAATGAACTCCATTTTCTGCAACGTTCAGGACTTTCAAATCATTCAGATCTTGAAAAACACATCCCTTGAGTGTTGAAATGCGATTTTGGCTGAGATTGAGTTCTACTAGTTTTGTCAAATTTTGAAAGTCAGAGCAGTCTAACTCACTGATGAAATTCACACTCAGATCTAGGATTTCAAGTGTGGAGAGGCCTCTGACACCCTGTGGCACTCTAGACAGGGAGTTTCTCACTAAGTCCAGGCGTCTGAGCTGTTTTATTGATCCGAGGGAAAACTCGGACAGCTCTTCCAAATAATTATATGATAAATCAAGCTCAGTAATTTCAGTGCAAGATTGAAGAAATGTCTTGTTTATACTGACAAAGCTAATTCCACTCAAATGAAGACTTGTCAGAGCAGTCATTTGGCAGGCGATGTCTACCAGATCTCTTTCTCGGTCATGGTGCCAAAAGAGGAGTGACAGTTCCCGCACTGACTCGGCACTCTTCAGCATCACTTGGTACATCTCACAACTATTGTCAGATACAGATAACTCCAAAGTAGTCAGGCTCCTCAGAAACATTGGGTCTGGTACATCCCACTCAAAGCCAGTGTTAGCATTTAAATGGATAGACTGAAGATGGGGAAAAACGTCTCTTGTAATGCTGAACTTTTTCATTGAATCACTACATAGCCACAGTGTCCTGAGGTTTGATTTATTAAAAGGCATGTCATCTGACTGAAAGGAAGTGAGACTGTTAAAATCAGCGAGCAGATCATTCAAGTTTGGTAGTTGTAAGATGGGCACAATGTCGGTTATTTGATGTAGGTTGTTATATGTCAGCTGTAATGTCTGTAAGCTGATCAGGGACTGAAAGGCCAGAGGGGAGATGTATGTGATATGGTTTTTCTCCACTGACAAAAAAATTAACTTCCACAGTCCCTGAAACATATAGTTCGTCAGGTTTATGAGGTTGTTTGAACCCATGTCAAGCTCTATTAACTCCACCTCTGCAAAAGCTCCATCATCTACATGTGAAATCAAGTTATTTGCAATTTTTAAATACCCAAGCTTTGAAAAACGGCTGAAATCTGTCCTGTTTATCTTTGAGATGTGATTGAAGTTGAGATCTAGAGTTACTACAGTTATGAGAATGTCATCAGGAACCCCAGTGAGGTCACGATCTGCGCATTCTACCCAAGTCACATTGTTGTCAGCAGTGCAGTTTTTTAGTGAGAAAGCCAGCAAGGGGTTAAAAGGAAGCAGGACAGACGGAAGTAAGATGAGGAAGCTCTGTAGAAAGAACAGAGGCCAACTTCCCATCACTGACATGTTGATCTTCAAAACTGAGAGAGAGAATGAAAGAAAACAACAGTCTGCAGTCAAACAGCTCTGTGAGGCTAAACTTTCCTTTTCCTTGTCCTCTCCTGACGACCATTCATAATTTAATTCAAATGTAATTTGGGGGAAAATATCCATCTTCTTGGTGTAACGCTATAGTGTCAGTTTGTGTCAATGTAGCTAGTGTGCAGAGATGGGCAAAAATACATCAAAATGTATTTTATATATATTATACAAAATACCGCTCCAATAAATGTATCAAAATAAAATACAAAATACTGGTGCCAGAAAATGTATCAAAATAAAATACATGTATTTTGTATTTTCAAATACAGAAAATGCTTTTTTTCTTTTTCTTTTTCTTTTTCTTTTTAGCAGCGACCCGCAGCTCTATAGGTCACTCAGTTGATCGGTTGGTTGGTCGGATGGTCGGTCGGTCCACAAAGCTTTTCATGAATAACTCAAAAGTCCTTGACCAAAAATGCTCAGAATTTGCATACTACAACTAGATACCATGAGTAACTATACCAGAAAGAATACCCATGATTTGTCCATGGGTGGTGCTATACTAACCGATTCAAATCTTTTTGTGAATAACTCAAAAAGTCCTTGACCAAAAATGCTCAAAATTTATGTGCTGCAATTAGAGACTACAAGTAACTATGCCAGAAAGAACAACCATGATTCATCCATTAATGGCGTGACAGTAGCAAATTTGTTCGCAGCTATTGCAAATTTGCCCTTGTTTCCTCACAATTTGGTGTAGGCTACCCTAAAATATTATTTATTGATTCAGATTTAGATTCAGACAACTTTATTGATCCCACGTGAGGCATTCATTTGTAGTATACTCGTCCCAAGCATCAACCACAACAACATACAATTTTCTGTGTTATGCGCAGTCCAGTAAAACGAACCACTAGGTCATTGAAGGGCACATTGAATGGCCCAACTTTAAAAAACACATATAGATAAAAAAAAATTAAAGTAAAAAAATATTGTTACATCCAATATTATTATTATAAGAATGTGTAGCCTATTATTTTTGTTTTTTGATTTGTGAAGAAAGTATTTTGAGTATTTTAAATACAAAATTACTCCACTCAAAAGTATTTTGTTACAAATTACATTTGCTTTTTATTGGCCTTATACATAATACAAATTACAAAATACTCAAATGTAATTGAAATATGTATTTTAAATTCAAGTAACAGAAATATTGCCCATCCCTGTGAGTGTGACAGTTGGTTAATTAACGGTTGTATTTATATTTATAACACCTGTGAGCGGAGTGATTTTACTGTTACATGTCCCAGTGATGTTGTACTCTGTATCAGCATTCATGGAATGCCTCTCGTCCAATCAAATTACTCGGTCGGAGCTAACTGTTGTATAAATATATGTATATACAGTACAGGCCAAAAGTTTGGACACACCTTCTCATTCAATGCGTTTTCTTTATTTTCATGACTATTTACATTGTAGATTCTCACTGAAGGCATCAAAACTATGAATGAACACATGTGGAGTTATGTACTTAACAAAAAAAGGTAAAAATAACTGAAAACATGTTTTATATTCTAGTTTCTTCAAAATAGCCACCCTTTGCTCTGATTACTGCTTTGCACACTCTTGGCATTCTCTCGATGAGCTTCAAGAGGTAGTCACCTGAAATGGTTTTCCAACAGTCTTGAAGGAGTTCCCAGAGGTGTTTAGCACTTGTTGGCCCCTTTGCCTTCACTCTGCGGTCCAGCTCACCCCAAACCATCTCGATTGGGTTCAGGTCCGGTGACTGTGGAGGCCAGGTCATCTGCCGCAGCACTCCATCACTCTCCTTCTTGGTCAAATAGCCCTTACACAGCCTGGAGGTGTGTTTGGGGTCATTGTCCTGTTGAAAAATAAATGATCGTCCAACTAAACGCAAACCGGATGGGATGGCATGTCGCTGCAGGATGCTGTGGTAGCCATGCTGGTTCAGTGTGCCTTCAATTTTGAATAAATCCCCAACAGTGTCACCAGCAAAACACCCTCACACCATCACACCTCCTCCTCCATGCTTCACAGTGGGAACCAGGCATGTGGAATCCATCCGTTCACCTTTTCTGCGTCTCACAAAGACACGGCGGTTGGAGCCAAAGATCTCAAATTTGGACTCATCAGACCAAAGCACAGATTTCCACTGGTCTAATGTCCATTCCTTGTGTTTCTTGGCCCAAACAAATCTCTTCTGCTTGTTGCCTCTCCTTAGCAGTGGTTTCCTAGCAGCTATTTGACCATGAAGGCCTGATTGGCGCAGTCTCCTCTTAACAGTTGTTCTAGAGATGGGTCTGCTGCTAGAACTCTGTGTGGCATTCATCTGGTCTCTGATCTGAGCTGCTGTTAACTTGCCATTTCTGAGGCTGGTGACTCGGATGAACTTATCCTCAGAAGCAGAGGTGACTCTTGGTCTTCCTTTCCTGGGTCGGTCCTCATGTGTGCCAGTTTCGTTGTAGCGCTTGATGGTTTTTGCGACTCCACTTGGGGACACATTTAAAGTTTTTGCAATTTTCCGGACTGACTGACCTTCATTTCTTAAAGTAATGATGGCCACTCGTTTTTCTTTAGTTAGCTGATTGGTTCTTGCCATAATATGAATTTTAACAGTTGTCCAATAGGGCTGTCGGCTGTGTATTAACCTGACTTCTGCACAACACAACTGATGGTCCCAACCCCATTGATAAAGCAAGAAATTCCACTAATTAACCCTGATAAGGCACACCTGTGAAGTGGAAACCATTTCAGGTGACTACCTCTTGAAGCTCATGGAGAGAATGCCAAGAGTGTGCAAAGCAGTAATCAGAGCAAAGGGTGGCTATTTTGAAGAAACTAGAATATAAATCATGTTTTCAGTTATTTCACCTTTTTTTGTTAAGTACATAACTCCACATGTGTTCATTCATAGTTTTGATGCCTTCAGTGAGAATCTACAATGTAAATAGTCATGAAAATAAAGAAAACGCATTGAATGAGAAGGTGTGTCCAAACTTTTGGCCTGTACTGTATATATATGTATATATATATATATACACACACACACATTTCATATTTCATATCTCAGTGTCAAGATAAAGGTCAGTGTCCTCATACAGTTTATTTCTTTGACAGTCACAGTCCAGTTGTTTATTGGTTTGTTTCTGAGTGACAGATTTACACATCATTGAAGTCTTTATTTTCTGAGACATGTCTCAGGTTTTAATGGTGCAACCTGTAAATCACTAGTTTGAAAGTAGTTACAGGGAACTTAAGAAAGGATTTTATGTTCGTCTCTATGAAGAGGGTTTAAACGCTGCATCATATTTCTGCCGTCTGTCAAAGTTAAACCTTTCAGAGTGCTGTGCTGATTTATCTAGCTGTATTTACTGATTAAATCTTTTTATTTCTTTGAATAATCTGGATCTGAGCAGCTACTAACCAGCCAGATGTTTGACCTCAGACTCCGAATGATGCTCCGGCTCGTTCTACATGAACTGATATGGGAAATGAGAAGTTGGTGCTCCTCTTCAGACTGTCAGACTAAGACTGAAGAGTGGAAAGAGGAAGATCTGTGAGACGTCCGCACACAAGGGCGTAGGAACTGGAGGGGATGGAGGGGACGTGTTCCCTCCAATATTAGAGACAGGCGCATTTGTCCCACCCAGTCGGGACACAGCGGCCTGCATGCGACAGAGGTTTAAGATGAAACAACGGCAGCAGCTCAGTTTAAGCGCTTTCTTTCTTATGGGAAAGAAAAGAAAGAAAGACAATGTGAGTTGGTAATAATTCTGTCCGGGAGGATAATACTCCTATGTCCATAATACCTATGTCCTTGTCCGCACAGTCACCTCTTCTGTTTACTGATGACTTTCTGTCATTCTGAGGTCAAATCTTGTTTTTAAATTGTTCAGACTCTTCACTGTCTGCCAGGACAGTTGAAAGAGGAAGACTGCAAAGATATATAAAACAACAAACTGAACAAACAAAAAGACTGGAGGGAGTTTTGTTTTTATCTACTATCCCCCCAAAAAAGTTAATGCATCATTGAAATGAGACCATGGTTGTTAATGATAACATTAAACTTAATAAACTTCACCAGGAATTAGACGACTTTTTTTAGAAAGAGAGGCCTATAATAACCTCGCTAACACATTACACAGGCCTACTTAATACTGTAATCTGCATTCATAATTTCATATGACATAGGTCTGTGTATCATCCGATCATTCAATTATTCCATTCAATCTAGCAAACGAAAAATGAAAAAAACTAGTCAATATTTTGTTTTTCTGTTTTTCTGTATAACCAAAAAATGGAAGATTGGTGTTTGTTTTCCTATTTTCAGCTCAAAACAGAACAAATAATAAACTGGGAAACCAAAATTAAATAATAAACCTAATTTACGGTTATTGATTTTCCCATTTCTCACGGTGTCTTTGTGCTGCGTGAGCACGTTTTGCTCATACGTGCATGAAGGCTACATTAGCCTACCCATGATCCTCAGCGACAGTTACCATGGTGAAAGATGCAACAGACCGGTCTGAGCGCCAAAAGTGGAGGCTACTGAAAGTTCCATGGTATGGTCCAGTCCCAGCAGACCACTAAAATCTCACGTTCTAATGGCCTCACTCGAGCCATACATGTCTATAATTAAAGATATGTTTATGAATGAAGTGACATATCATGAGAGTGTGTGTGTTTTTAACAGACTGGATCTACTTATGGTCGCAAAATGATGACAGTCTACCTGTGCTCAGTTGGGGTACATGGAGGGGAATGCCGAATTGGAGGAACTCTGAGAGCAGCCTAGTAAACTAGTTTGGATACTTTACAAATGTCATTTATATAAAGGATAAATAGTTTAGGTCCCAAAACTGACCCCTGGGGAACACCACAAGCAATGTCCAAACATATTAAACTAAGTAATAATAATAATAGCTGGAAAGACTCAACCATGGCGGTGTTTGGACTCACTGAGGAACATAGCATTCATTTAGTTGCTTTCAACATATTGTGTCAGGCCAGCTTTGCTCTTTATTAGAGGCCATGCTTAGCGTTTTACTATGACTCTTGGTAGGAGGAAAAAGTGAGGAGGTGTTACAAGCCACTGGTAGTCCAACTGACGAGATTCTCCGCCTCTTTTGTTGCACAGCTTGAAAGTCAGCCTCTGGTACAGCCATGATTTTTTGAGAATTCTGCTTCCAGTAAAAGGAGCCTAAATGAGTGCAAAAAATGTATAATGTATAAATAAGAACTAATTCTTGAGACTGACATGAATGCAAATTAATTTAGTTTTATCTGAAATGACAGTAAAAGTTTGACATTGTTTATGGCTGCAGTTTGAAATGTGGGACTTTATAAATGTCGATGCAGAAATTCAAAGCCCACAATATATTTGCAACCTGATTGTGAAGCAACATAAATGTTCTGTGTAAATACAATAAATCTTTAAGACACAGGACTATGTTTACTTAAACTGTAAACTGACAAGGTAAATAAAGTTGCTCAAATGAAGCAGCTCTTGTTCCTTCTGAGTCAAAAATTTCCAATGCATTGTGATCTGTCAGGATGAGTGGTTCGTTGCTTCCTACGGCATCTTTTGTTTTTTCAATCATAGATGGGACACTGACCTCCTGCTCAGTAAATCTTATAACCACCATTCTGCTGTTCACAAGCTTTCCACTCTGTAACTTTCCCAGGCTGACAATCCTGGAATTCAGAAAAATTACATTTAGGGTCATTCATAATGATGAACATAGAGAAGTGCACATAAAACATTTCTTTCTGTTGACAAGGACATGGAAATTTAAAAAGAAAATTAGCTCACCTTGTAAAATATTTCAGGGATTGGGCCCTGGGTGGCAGTGAGGGACTTGCTGAGCTAGCCAACCTGGAGAAGTGAAACTGGCTGTTTGAGGAAGGAGTAGGAGGGGGCCCCAAGGCAGTGACGTTACCACTTACATCTGGTGCAGCCTTGGCCCCGTGTACCTCGTAATGGGCCTTATCCCTGAGGTCGAGTGAACTAAAGTGGTCATCCACTCTTGGGGAACATTGCCACATTGTTATCACCAGTAGGGTACAGACTCTGGCTGGTTACCTAAAGGACAGTAAGGTTTTTTTAAATCAGCAAAATCTGGGTAATGGAATTTACTGTATCCGTAATACTCTTATAGATATAGGTACAGCACTACAATCTGCAGCCAGTTTATTAGGTTCACCTAGCTAAAACTAACATGATCCAATACAACAGTCTTGCAATAACTCATGACTGGTTAAATGTAAATGGTGGTGATAATGAACTGTATTACATTATACAGAGAGGTGTTTCTGTCATTGAACCTAGTCTCATTGATATAAAGAGGGTGCGCAAAATACTAGAAATACCTGTCAGTACAACACAATACAGTTCAACAGCACCATTAACTGCAACTTCAAAAACGACCATATCAACACCTCTCTAAAACGCAAGTCTGTGCGCTCCCATGCCTTTTCCCTGTTCACCTCTGTAAAACAGTTTCAACACAAACTGAACATAATAACTTTCATGAAGGTATGAATTATAGCAGGACTGTCACATTAGACCGAATTAGATTTATCTTGATGGACCTAATAAACTCGGTTGAGTGGGGTTAAGGGGCAGGATGAAAGGCTGTTCGTATCCCATAACTTTACATAACTCCAACAGATTAGTAACTTATGGATTAACATGTGCCTGGCAACTAGCTGTCTTTAGAGTTCAGCCAGTGTCACACATTCTGTAAATGCAAAACTTAATGCTAACAAACTAGCATGAGTTAACTAGCTACATATCTTTGGGAAAGAGACATATTATTGTTTGTAAACGTTAAGCAATGTTTGATGACTACCGCATATTACCTGAAATATTTTAGCAATCTTTTCTACCGTCATGTCTTTCTCTCTCAACGTGACCCTCCTGGCGGCCTTGAATAGCACAAAGGATGCGTCCATCTCCATCTCAGCGCCTGTGCCTGCTGAGTTTCCTGCGACGTTAGCTGGCTCTATTAGCATGTAGTTGGTCCAGATGTTGTTGTAAATTAGATTTATTATTTTGTTTTCATTTCCTTGTTTATTTTATTTTCTGTTTTGAGCTGAAAATAGGAAAACAAACACCAATCTTCCATTTTTTGGTTATACAGAAAAACAGAAAAACAAAATATTGACTCGTTTTTTCGTTTTTCGTTTGCTAGACTGAATGGAATAATTGAATGATTGGATGATACACAGACCGATATAAGCCCTTTTTACACAGGAATTGTGCAAATTTGCAGGAAAGCCCAATCAGTCTTTTTTCAGCATTGGCAGTGTTATGCCCAGTCTAGGGGTGTCTGGGACACAACATGAAAGGCCCCCATCTTCCCCAAGTCCCAAGTAGGCCACAAGGATACAAATGTGTTTAACGATCAAATATTAATTTATTACAATAAATGGGACAACAGAAGTGAGTGAAATAATAACTTCAGGGTGGACTAAGGCCAAAATAACTAACAAAACAATTCTATCCAGGGAGTAAGTAAATAACCTAACCAAATAATAAGAAACAAATGACAAAAATCTTACCTCCCTAATTAAATAAACAGGAGAAAAAAGGGTAAGCAACAAAACTGGCAGTCCACCCCTACTTTACAATATATACAAAAGGCTGTTTCATTACAATAGCCTACGATACAACAGTGTGTGTGGCCGGTTGGGAGAGGAGGAAGGTGAGGTCTGCCTGCTAGCTCGAAGCAACTGCCATCTTGGTCCTTTAAAAACCCGAACGCCCTTGGCGGCAGCCTATCAGTAATGAGCAAAGATCCAATTCCCCAATCACCGCCGGGCTGTGGCACACACCTATTTGCACACAGAAAATACAGCACACAGAGAACACGTACAGAGAATACCTGCAGGAAAACACACACAAACAAAAGAAATTACGACAACAGTCGTAACAGGCAGTATAAAAAAAAAAAATCGGGAAGTGCTGCAAAATGCTGCCTACCTACTTTCTTTTTTATACAGAATGCACCTTTTTCAGGGCAATGGGGGGCGTGAGCAAGTAACAAAACGTGTAGCTCAGCTTGTGACGTAAACAGTGGGAGGGAAGCCGCAGCTAGTCAGTCCTTCTGCGATTCTCTTGTAAGTTGGCCCGTCCTTCACCGTCCCCGTCATCTGACGGTTAATGGCCTCTTCATTTGCGAGGACAAGGAGGAAGCGCAATTCTTTGTCTCCCCAGTTGCTCATCTTTACAGAGTCTGTCAGGTTTGCGTTTCCCTCTTGTTACTAGCTGCTCACTAATTCCTGCTATCAGCTGTTTCCTGTTTATCTACCGGCAGTGGCTCGCACGTGCGGCGTCATCAACAGAGCCTCCCACAAGTCTTCAACAGCCCCTCCCATTACGGAAGGCCGCCTCAGTCTGTTTAAACTAAAAGGGTTCCGCCAATATGACTACCCTACGAGGCGGAAAATTGGGCACCTCGGATCAACTCGCCAATCCGGCTTTGTGTGTCTAAACGCTCACAGCTTGC